AACTTAAAATCTTTGTTAATAAAGTTGATAAAATATATATTAAATTATATTTTTTATATAGTAATAATATTACTAAAGTTAATATTTAATATTTTATAAAGAAATTAACAATTATATTTAATTTCGCAGGCAAATTTGCTTGCTAGACAATCTAAGGGATAAGAAATTTAACTAACAAAATTTAAGTTAGCGCAATAAAAATCACTGGTCATTATTGTTCACTAGCTATTAATGTTCACTTATCATTATTGTTCGCTGGTCATTATTGTTTACTGGCCATTAATGTTCACTAGTTATTATTGTTCACTGACCATTAATGTTTACTGGTCATAATTGTTCACTGGCTATAATTGTCCTGTTAAAAATTTATGTTTATAAATGGCAGAATTTCCTTTAATAAAGAAAGACAGTTTTTTAACACAAAAAATAAAGAATTAAATACCTGCAATAATAAACAGTTCATCCAATCCTTGAAAAAGTCTGATAATTTCCTAAATACGAAAACATCATAATTTTTTCTCTTTACATTTTTATTGTAATAACTTCGAAAGATATAATTAATAAATATACCTGATTGTACAAAGCGCTGACGTTGCAGGCAATACAATATCTATTTTGTATTAGATTAGAAATTCTGATTATTATTAATTAAATTAGTAAAAACAATAAAAATGATACCTTCTGCTTACCTTAAAACTTCGTTTATAATCCATAAATATCAAAGAACTGCTATTAACATATGATGCCTTCTGCTAGAATCTAAATAGAAGAATTTAGATAATTTTGCATAAGCCTTGATAAAGAAAATCTCATAACAATCAATTTTCTTGTAACTGCTATTTTCCTCTTGGATTAAAACTTTGTCTTTAGCATTCTACAAAAGATCCAGTTAGTTTCGCAATCAATAATATTCAAGAAAGTGAATTACAAAACAATTATTCAAACTTAGCCAAAATTACCTTACCGATATCTTTAAATTATAATTCTAGACCAGGACATATAGGATTATTGGACATACCATTTTTTGGCAATTTAATTTTCAACAATGAATCATTAAATCTTGACTAGTTATTCCCAGAAAAAAATCCAATGGCAGCTCAAGCAGTGGATCTTCAAAATCTAACTGCAGCATTGCAAGCATTGCAAGGAATTTTGCAACCTCTAGGAGCAGTAAACGCAAATAACGCCATTATAAATTTATAAGCTCAGATGCAAGCAAACACCAATGCATTGAATAATCCTCTTGGAAGGGAGACCCATGTGGTTGAAATCCCCAATTATCAAGGAGGAAACCAGGACCTCATTGGATGGCTGGAAGAATTCACCTGATCTTATAATGCTAATGGAATCATTAACGCCAGAAAATTAGAAGTGGTGCCTGCTTACCTTAAAGGACCTGCTTCTACATGGTGGATTACTAATCAAGTATTGTCTAATAATAATGCAAACAAGATTAATGCATGGAATGGAATTAACAACAATACAGATTTCATACAGAATTTTCCTGCTGCCTTTTGTTCTCAAACCTTGGTTAAAATCTGAATTACAGAATTAGAATGACGACATCAAAGACCTAATTAAACTGTTGATGCATATGCCTGTGCTCTAAAAGAGTTATATTGAAGAATAGAAACCCCCAGTTTGCATATCCAGCAGCGATAAAAGCTCAAAGACTTGTAAATGGTCTCTTACCAGAATTACATTTAATGGTGAAGCCTCATAATGACCAAACTTGGAATGCCAGACTCAACAGAGCTAAGTCTTATGAATTAACATATCTAGACCAAAATGCTATAGCTGCATACATGAACAAGTATGATATCACTATACCATCCACTCAAACTAATACACTTAATGAAGCCATAGTTAATTTAAAACAACAAATTCAGCAAATGAATTTTGGAAGAAAGGACTTCTGTAATAATGGATATCATAGGAATGATAGGTATTAGAGGAATGATGGATACTAGAGACCACAAAACTTTAAGTCGAACAATGCATTCCCTGCTATTGCATCTCAATGAAACAATCTTATCTGTTATTTATGCAAACAACCTGGACACATGAGAAGAAATTGTCCTAATAATTTTAATATTTCTCACAATAATCTAGTGCTTTAACATAATCAAGCTTTGGGAAGTAATGCCACGAATATGATCTCTTCAGTTTCACCAGTACTAAATAATACTTCTAATAATAAAATACAGAAACTGCAGCTACTTCAGTTGTTATCACAACTGGTACAAAATAACACCTAAGAATAGCATTTAAACTAAATGGTGTATCTCATAAGGGTGAAGGTATAGAACCATTGGTCGTTCCCTCAAATTTATCATTATTTGAAGCATATCCAGCAATGAAAATATGATTCAAGGCCTCTCAAGAAACTTCTTACGAGAGTTATGAAGAAACTGAAAATAAAAAGAAAAACGATGACGAAGGAAAGTCCAGCAATTAACCAATCAACAAGCAAATAAAAAGGTTAAAACTAAACTGTTGAAAAGGAAGTTACCTTTGGTGTTGCCTATAAATGGTATAGTTGATGCTTATACACCACAAAGATTCTTTGATCAACCTGTGAATATTACAAATGGCCAACTAATTGCGATGAATCCAAAATTCGGGCAAGCTGTAATGAAAGTGATATGAAGCCCATAGCAAAGAAACCTAAAGAGCAAATTATTGTGAAAGAAAAGCCCAATGAACCTAATAATATGGAATCCAATTTGTCAAAAATGACACTACAAAGAGAGCTACAGCATTGTATTGCAACACATATATAGATGAAGTAAAAATACCTCTTATAATTGATTCTGATTCTGTAAGATATATTATATCCTTGAAGTTACTAAAGGATTTGGACATTAAAATAACACAAGTATAGAAAACTATCATGGTCAATGTTAATGGAGAAAAAAGAAGACCATTAGGAGCAGTAACTAAAATTCCTTTAAAAATTAATAACCACATAATTCCTTTTGACGCAGTAATTACAGAAGCTGAATCCTATGCTGCTATTGTAGGAAATGACTGGTTAAAAGAAACACAGGCAATAATTAATTATAGAAAAGGGCTATTAATCTTGCTTTAGAATAATGAAGACATTAATATACCAGTTGAATGCTATTCACTACCACATGATCATATTCTCGAAAAGATTAATGAAGAAAAAATCAAAGATAATGAACAAGAAAAACATATTATTGATAATAGTGATACAGATGAAGAATATGAGAAAGAAGCTGATTTACAAGAACAAGTATATTGTTTTAACCAATATATATCTATAGAGGAATTTGAACAAATTGAAAATGAAATAATTAAGCAAATCGGTGATACTATAATACCCAAAGAATCATAATATCAGTATGAAGAGATTGAGAAAAGAAATTTTCATATTGGAGAATAAAATATGGAACAAAAGAAAACCTTTAAAGCATTCATGCATGAATACAATGATTTATTTGTCTGGGATACAAATGAATTTGGGTGAACATCTGTCAGTAAACATTTAATTAATACCGGCATAGCAGAACACATCAAACAGAGATTTTACTGAACTTCTCACAAAAATCAGGAATTTATTAATAAAGAAATTCAGCAGTTATTAAAGAATAGACTGATCAAACTTTCAAATAGTCAATGGATCTCCCCAGTTGTGGTTGTGAAAAAGAAAAATGGAAAAAAATGGCTTTGCGTAAATTATTGAAAACTAAATGGAGTAACCAAGAAAGATTGTTACCTTTACCTAGGATAGATGATATGTTGGAAACTTTATCAGGATCTTCTTGGTTTACTTCTCTTGACCTTGTTAGTGGATTCTAGCAAGTTGAATTGGATTCCAGAGATATGGAAAAGACAACATTTATAACTAAATTCAGTACCTATGAATTTAGCGTAATGCCATTTGGACTGTGTAATACGCCTGCCACATTTTAATACTTAATGGACACTATTTTAAGAGACATATTATGGCAATTTGTTGTTGTATATGTTGATTTCATTAATATCAGATCAAGAATCTTCAAAGAATATCTCATGTATTTAAAGCAAGTGTTTATGCAGTTAAGAAATACTGGACTAAAGTTAAGCCCAGAAAAATGTTTCTTCTTTAAGCGAAAGTTACCTTTTCTAGGTCATGTGATAAGTGGAGAAGGAATTCAGACTGATCCTGAGAAACTAAGAGTAATAAAAGATTACCCTCCACCAAAAAATTTGACTCAGCTTAGAGGTTTTATCACATTAGCTTCTTACTACCAAAAGTTTGTTAAAGGGTTTTCAATGATAGCCGAACCTTTGCACTGACTCTTAAAGAAGAATGTTTATTATTAATGGATGAAATATTAATAAGAAGCCTTTGAGGAACTCAAATCATGCTTAATGACACCTCCAATATTAGCTTATCCTAATTTCAAAAAACCCTTCATTCTATATACGAATGCTTCAACTTTTGCATTAGGAGTAATATTATCGCAAAAAGGAATTGATTCTAAAGAACATGTTATAGCCTATGCTAGTCGTACATTGAACAAGCATGAATGGAACTATACTATTACTGAACTCGAATGCCTTACTGTTGTATAGACAATAAGATACTTTCATTATTATCTTCATGAACAAAGATTTGTTGTTGTTACTGACCATTCCACTTTAGTATATTTGAAAAATAACTCAAACCCTGTTGGCAAACTTGGATGCTGAATTATGACTCTTAACTCATTTGACTTTGATATTATCAACTGACCAGAAAAACAAAATTCAAACATAGATACTTTAAGCTGGATAACCCATTAATAATAAAATAACAAAACTTTAAATACAGCAACGGAAATAGCATTCACAACACTTCTTAATAATAATGGATTTTTACCATTATGGACTCCAACACATACTTCTCCCTCACACAATACTTAACGGATTCTATAATGCCAATATAACTTACTAAAAAACAACAAATCGAAATAAAAGAAAATCAAAATATTTTATTGTAATCGAAGGACAACTATACAAAAAGAATAGAAAGGAACTGAATCGATCATTTAAAGTAATGAAAAGAAATGAAATAGAAACAATTCTATACTATGTATATTCAGATTCATTAGCAAGATATTTTGCTATAGAAGAAACCTATAGAAGAGTTAAAATAAGATATTATTGGCCTCAAATGTTCAAAGACGTAAGGCAATATATTAAAACATGCGATGAATCCCAGCGAAAGGCAAAAATAAATGTACTGAACCTTTACATCCAATCAAGGTGGGACAGCCTTTTGATAGAGTTGGAATGGATATTGTTAGACCTTTACCTAAAGCAAAGAATGGAAATTCCTACATTGTTGTAGCTACAGAATATTTAACTAAGTGGCCTGAGAAACATGCGATACCTGATGCTAAGGCTTCTTCGGTAGTTTCATTTTTCTACGAAGATATTATATGCTTACATAATTGTCTAAAGATACTATTACAGTCTGGGATTTTACCAAAATTGTTACAATAATCTTTGCCTTTTATAGTAAAGAAATGCTGATCAGAATATTCTAAAACGCTTCTAAATATGGCAATCAAAAATTATTAATATATATTTGACCAAAATTATAACCCAATTTATTATTTACTGAAAATTTATTTAAAACTATAAATGTATAAAAGATAATAAAAGTAATATCAATTTTCAATTCCTTCACAATTGGTATTATTTGCCAGAATGTTTCTAATTTCTTGGAGCATATTTAATGAATTATCGCAAGATTTACTTGATAAGCTTCAAAAGCGTGATCAATCTGAATCATCTAAAGATAGAATTAAAGAATTAATAATTGATAAAATTTGAGATTTCGTTAAAAAGTTTCAGATAGTTGAAAATCTGCTTCTTCATGTGTTATAGAAATTGGATGCTAAATTTCCAGTTGATTCTTTTCAATTAACTTTGCTTTAATAAAGTCAATTCTTTTCATTTGTGCAATCTTGCTAAATTTTTTTAATTCTTCATTTAGCATTTATCTACTCATATTTCAGAAATTTCGATCAATAGCATTAGGATTTACGAATTGGAATTTTCTTATCTGAACT